TGTGAGGGAGAAGGGGGAGAGAGAACGATGTGTGTAGGAGGGAGAAAGAGAAGATGGTGAGAACGACGATGAGAGAAGAGACGATGGTGTGAGGGAGGAGAGAGAACGATGGTGTGAGGGAGGAGGGAGAGAGAACGATGGTGTGAGGGAGGAGGAGAGAAGAGAGAACGATGGTGTGAGGGAGAAGGGGAAGAGAGAACGATGGTGTGAGGGAGGAGGAGAGAAGAGAGAACGATGGTGTGAGGGAGGAGGAGAGAAGAGAGAACGACGGTGTGAGGGAGGAGGAGGGGAAGAGAGAACGATGGTGTAAGGGAGGAGGAGAGAAGAGAGAACGATGGTGTAAGGGAGAAGGGGAAGAGAGAACGATGGTGTGAGGGAGGAGGGGAAGAGAGAACGATGGTGTAAGGGAGGAGGGGAAGAGAGAACGATGGTGTGAGGGGAGAAGAGGGAGATGGGAATTCTACCTGTCATGGTGTTGAAAATAGAACGATGGTGTGGCGACATGTAGGGAGGAGGGGAAGAATTATTTTCATTTTAGTGACATTTAATTAAGAGAGAACACGTTCGTAAATGCGCATGCGCAGAACGTCGTGAAGGGAGCAGGGGACTTCCACCATTCACCAGTAGAGAGAACGAGGTGCAGGAAGACCAGACTATCGATGGTATATCTGAGGAGGCAATGATTACGATGGTGTAAGGCAGATTAGACACGATGGTTCTATTTTCTTTCTTTGTAAGGGAGGAGAGAAGAACAACGATTTGAGGGAGGAGGAGAGTAGAGAGAACGATGGTGGATTCGATGAGGGAAGAGAGAACGACGGTGAATTGAGGGAGGAGAGAACGATGGGGGGGGGGGGTAAGATAAACTGTTAACTCAGATAGCTTCAAGTCACAGTAACTGCCTTACCCACTCAAAGTAATAATAGTTGTGGTGAGGCGGTTACACCGTAGTGCTATCAGGGAGGATGCCGGAAAGAAACGGCGGTAAGGAGATGGAGTTTTTCTGAGGGGGGAGCGAAATGTACAGAAGGAGAAGAGAGACCATGGTGTGGCGACAGCACTAGCCATGCGGCGCCAAATTCTCTGGCTCACGACTCCCTGTCTACACCGATGGTAAAAGAGATAACAGTGACATTATTTTAGTTACTGTTGTGGTGCTGGTAGTAGTTGTTATGGTACTTGAAGGATGGTGTAGTCGATATTACACAAGCCGCATTTACTACTCATTACAATTCCTGTTCCCCATTTTAGTCCGGATGGACAGGGATATCAAGGTCAGTTACAAAAAATGTCGTCAGGTGATGACTTTCAGATCCTTCGAAGAGGGAGAGAGCAGTAGTCAGTGGATGGGGAAGAGGAGGGGGTGATGACAGAAATTGTTAACTTAAAGAGCTTAACACGTGATTTTAAAGTTTTCATTTCTTGATTTGTTTTATTTTACTAAAGCTACCTTCAGCTATTATCATTTGTGTGTGTGTGTGTGTGTGTGTGTGTGTGTGTGTGTGTGTGTGTGTGTGTGTGTGATTTGAAAGTACAGTAGTGAGCTTTATTTCCGGCTCTTTAAAAAATACAAACTGCTTTAGCATGTGATAACCAAAAAACCATAATTTAGAAGTCATAATAATACAATTTAAACGACCAATATAATGACACTATTATATGTTGCATGTTCTTGAGTCGGCAAACCAGAATATCTCTGTATCTGCGCAGGCAATGATTGCGACAGTAACCATATTAGACACGTGCGATTTATATTTTCTTCCTTTAAAAAAAACCTTCGATGAGTTAAGGAGTAATCGGTGGATTTGAAGGGGGGGGGGGGGGGGGGGTCCTTTCTTTTCCATTTAGCTAAAATATGCCACAGCAACGCGTGGCCGGGCACAGCTAGTAAATTTATAAATTATTATGTATATGAATTCCAGTTTACAAAAAAAAAAAAAATTGTGCTGTACATGTTGTATGTAAATTCCATTTAAAACGTATAATTTGTCTTCCCTGGTGGATTTCAGTATATAAATTTTTTATTCTGTATGTTGTGTCATAGATCATTTCAATTAAGAATAATGATTGTGTATGTTGTTTCGTATGTGTAATTTTGATAAAATAATTACTTTGTATGTAGATTGCTCCTATGTTATGTCATCACAATCGACGTCACTGCACACTGGGCATTCCTATGTGTGCTCAGTCCTCCGATGCAGAAGCCGCTCCAAAGTACTTCTACTAATTGTTCCCATGAGAAGTTGGTTATATTGTCTCCTATCTCGGCCTCGAAGACGGCATAGACGTGCTTCACCATGATTTACTCCTATGTCACGCATTCGTGTTAGTGTCTGGGATTCCTCATTATCCACTAGCCCAGTCCGTACAGCGTTGACGATATCTGCTCTGTCCATACTTCTTGCAACAAGCGTTAGTGCAGTGCTTGTTAGTTGGTCCGCTAGCTCATTTCCCTTTACGCCCGCATACCCAGGTAAGTAGAGCCAGGTGAGGGAGGTTAAGTGCGATTTTTGAATGCTTTCTACACATTCAGAACGTATACAACCTGTTGCTATCTTCTGCAGCATGTTCACGGAGTCTGATACAACTACTGCCTGTGTGGTGGTTTGCTCGGATATCCAGGCTAATGCCCCAGAAGCAGCGGTTATCTCCATAATCATGTTTGACGTGGTTGTCTGTTAAAAACCGTGTCCTCTTGTAGTCTTTTCCCTATTCTGTGCGCT